ACTGATTGCATTTTTGGCATCAGTATAGATCACTAATCACCCACTGATAGTTATTTTGAAAATATATTTCATGTACAGAATTGACCTCTCTACAGATTTATTATAAGTATAGATTAAAAACCTGTGATAAAGTAAGAAAAAGGTTCTTAACTAACATGATAATATTGTCATAAATGAAATGTTAATTATTTAATACACAATTGGAATTTCAAGGTAAGTAAACTCACAATAAAATTTGGTAACTTAAATGAACTACACAATTAAAAAGTCAACATTGGAGTTAAATTCCACACATTTTATCGACACAATAAAGTCACGTACACCTTATTTGTCGATAAAAGATTGTCGCGACAACTAACGGCGCTTCACGACACACGATCAATCGTGACGTAAGAAAATTAACTTTTTTAAAAGTTAATCATCGCCCAAAACGCTTTCCACGTTTATGGCAACAAAGTAATTACATAAAACACTCAAATACAAGCCTTACGATACGTTGATTAAAGAAATTGTGTTTACTTTTGAAGAAAATTATTAATGTAGCGGCGAGGCGATACGACCCGCGGGTCAGATGACCATAATATTGGGTGAAAAATGGACCTATAGAGAATATTTTGTTCTTGACAAATGCTCAATTTAGAAAGTGATATAGTTTCTATCAAAATCGAATCAGGAAACAGGAATTGAAATGAAATCTTGCGTTGTTGAAAGTAAAGAACCTTTTTCGCAATTGGTGCTGTAATGCGATTTTCACATCTTAATTGTCACAATATTATACTTATTTAGCAATGCTATTTTCTAGAAATTTTTAAAATAATATATTTGTAACATAGGCTATGTGGTAGCAGCGAATAGAAAGCGCGGCATTTTGTAGAAGTTATGCATGCAGGTACCTTAGTAAACTTAAAGCTTAGTTACAACAGGATATTGCAAAATTCCCACGGGAACGGGAGTTAGCGGGAAAAAACATTTGTATGAAAAAATCTGAACCGCGTAAGATAGATGAAGGGGGGGTAAAACGAGATCCACGCGTACGAAGTCGCGGGCGGCCGCTAGTTAAAAATATGGTAACTTATCTAGGAAGAAAAGAAATCTATTCAATTATAGTTCACTAGCGGCCGCCCGCGACTTCGTACGTGTGGATCCCGTTTTACCCCCATAGGGGTGGAGTTTCGTAAAATCCTTTCTTAGCGGATGCCTATGTCATAACATCTACCTGCATGCAAAATTTCAGCCCGATTCGTCCAGTGGTTTGGGCTGTGTGTTGATAGATCACTGTCAGTCAGTCAGTCAACCTTTGAGTTTTATACGAGTACAATATTTAGATAGCACAATTTTCGATTAGTCTTTTTTAACCGTACTATGAATGCTATGCCCTTATGTAAATAGCCCTTAATCAACTACAATTAGAATAATTTCCCACGTTTCCACACTCCAATAAAGTTTGATGTTTCATATTTGGGTACAGTCAGTCTCATGATTTAGTTCGTTTGGCAGGAAATCTTAGGTATTACAGTTACAATAGTTGTAGATAGTGGATTGAAATAATTTATGAGAGTAGAAAATAGACTTAAAGTCTACAGTAGAGAAAAATTAAAAGTTTTCCGAAGGAATGTTTGCCGACTTTCCTTTTAACATACAATGTGCCACTTGATTGAAAAAAAAAAAGGTGTTTTATCTATTTTGAGATGAGTTCATCTACGAATGTCGATGTTATAAACCATTTATAAAGGTTATAATTTCTCGTTAAAAAAAATTTCTTGCGCTCATTTTTAACGTCAACTGTACCCGTGCCGTATTTGGGCTCGCTATTACCGCCTCGAATTAAACGATTAATCGGTTAAAAGAAATGATTAAAGCGATTAATATCTGTTCGGCCGAAATTATGGTCACCGTACGTTCAAGATGCCATATAAAACGCGGGAACCTGACGCGGCTACCGTATTCGTCTAACGGCCGATCACTTAATCACGGTTTGCGAATGTGGACTTTTCGATTAAAGGCCCGCTAAAATGGGAATTTAAGTGTTTGTGAGAAAGGTTCTTGAGTAATTTGGTATGGAGTAGAGCCGATTGGTATGGATTTACCTAGTTTTTCAAAACCGCTAGTAAATAATTTACTGAATGTGATAATGATTTGGCAGTGCCATCATAAAATAATGTCACAGTATGTTATTGTCTCGCAAAATTTAATTATTATAAGCGTTAAATAGTTCGTAATACCCAATGTGGCCAAAGAGTTCGTAACACGTTTTTGTTACAATTGAAATACGGTTGAGTTGTAAATTTTATGGCCACTTTGGGTGTCATGAACTATTTGAAGCTGACTGTACTAACCACTGAATTAAATACTATTCTTTCCATTCATCTTTATTGTTTTATATTACAAAATTTCAAAATTTCAGGATTTCAGATTTTTAAAGATATAGCTAATAAAACAAGGATCCATTCACCAATAAGGGTCTTACCAACGTTACATACAGGTTAAAGTCTTAATTACTGGGTTATGCCAGCGTGGGATTGATTTATTAGGGCCAATTGCAGCCACGTTAAATTGCATCAAGTGCCAACATAATTGCATCTCTGTCAATTGCTTGAAGTCGATAGAAACAGAATGATATTATTATTTGATTTATGAACGTAGCGGCAGGAGACTTACGCCCGTATTCACAAACAATGAGGTCTCACCGTCTCACGGTGCGCGTAGACGCACAGGGTGACACATGAACCAATCACAAAGCTTTTTTCAACGCTGTGCATTCGGTTTACTGCTTCACTTAAGCAAGCATCGTTTGTAAATACGGGTGTTAATTACTACGCCTCCTATTACGGAGAAGGCTGCATTTCTTAGTGACACGTGCAAATGTAGTTACTGCCCTATTTGGCAGAAGTATATCGTTGCAGTCTTGTTCGTCCACTCTCCTACAGAAAATGCCTAGTTCGATTCCATTAGATTAGAGTATTTCCAAGAAAAATATTGTACCTACTTGGCATTTCTGTACCTTTTACTTTCCCTTTCAAGTACCAGCAAATATAGACACAATAGAAATCAATTGTTACCGCGGTCTCATGTAACCACTTAGGCTGGGTTGCACCATCTTTCTTTAAATATTACAAACATCAAGTGTCTGTCAAACTCCTTAAAAAAAAACACTGGTTTTGTTATAGTTAGTTACCTTAGTGTTCCACGAGCTACTTACGATGGATTACATATCAACTTAGACTTACGACTTACTAACACTTTGATCTTACCAAATAGGCCGAGAAGTAACAAGGCTCTATTTTTATAAAATGTTTTTCTTCGGAGCAAAATAATGTAATATGTAATTAAAGGTAATTTTAGCCATAGCTCTATGGCCATACTATGCATCATCCTTATTCTCCATGAATATAAGAAAAGCTACTTATTCACAGCTAATAAAAAATTTAGGTCCTATCACCTATATTATCAATCACAATCTTATGTTATTACATATTAGGTATTCCTAAAGGATCAAAATGAACTAAAACTCATGTTTATTTGTGCAACTAGGCTTTTAAAAAGCACTTTTACACGTCCTAGTATTAACCCTACCACTGCTAAAGTATCTGGATGCGGGCCGCTACCAACCGGCCATTGTGTTCAGGGACGTCCTACGTTTCAGCCATAGGATAGGTTAATCATGATGATGATGATGAAAGGATCAAAACTTAAATCGAACTCATTGTCCCCAGGTGTGGTTCCAAAACCGCCGAGCCAAATGGCGCAAGCAGGAAAAGGTGGGGCCTCACGCACACCCGTATAGCGGATACCTGAGCGGGCAGCCGCTGCCGACGTCCGCCTCGCTGCCAGTGCCGCCACACCCATTATCGCAACTCGGCTTTGGGTTGAGGAAGCCTTTTGACAACGCTTTGACTTCCTTCAGGTGAGATAAGAAAAAATATTCCGTCTTTTTAAGTGTCTGTCTGTTTCTTTCATTGGTAGGCTTTCAAGCTTACTGAAACTATTTTAATGAACTAATAAGAAATACTGTCCTTACCTAGGCTACCATTTGTTTTCAAAAATCTGGAATGAGTGAAATAGGGGATGGATGTAATTCAGGAATCTCATAATTTTTCAAGGTAGAAATACTTATAAAATTGTTTTTTATGCTCTGAAAGAAAAAAAAATACTTCCTGTAATAATAAAATTTGCGTGGGTGAAAGCGCAGACAGAAATTAGTTTAATATATTTAATTAGTAACAATATTATGTTTGGGACAGGGAAAACAAGACAATTTATTATAATAATTGACCAGAATGCAAAGACATCAACGCGTTACATTCGGGCACGTTACATTAATAATTTGTCACGAATTTATTTCCGACAATATAATAAAAACAAATTGCGTTCATTAATTACTAATTTAAAACTGTTTTAGTACCATTGAATTTCAAACGAGTCTTGCGTGTCCCTAGACCGTAATCCAGAATTAAAGTTACGTTAGTTATCGTTAAACAAGTGTGTAACCTTACTTTCTTTACACAGGTACGCAAACAACCCGCTGTTTGGAGCTCAGTATCTGCCTCCGCTATCGCGTCCGCCTCTGTTCGGCGCGCCGCTCTACGCTACCTCTCCTGCGCACTTCCACTCTCTCTTCGCGAACCTAACAGCGCCTGAGCTGCCTCGGCTATCCCCCGAGCAGTCCACGATGTCTCCCGAACATCCCCGATTGTCGCCCGAGCACCCGCGACTGTCGCCCGAAGTGACCCGATCGCCGTCGCTCTCACCACCTATCTCACCTGGCAGCGAGATGCCAGTGCCGACGGAAGATGTTCGGAGTTCTAGCATAGCTGCCTTACGATTGGCTGCGCGGGAGCACGAGTTGAGACTAGAACTTTTAAGACAAAGGCCTGACTTAATTTGCTAAGTATTACGTAGACAATATTCCGTGAAATTGCTGTGTTAGTGACAATTATTATTCTTGATAAATCACTTCATAATATAACAAATATTTAACCGTTTTTTCTCCTATTAATGCAGCGTCATATGAATTCAAGCGTGTCTTAACTAATATCAGTGTTCTGTTATTTGTCAATTATCCATAATTCCCAATAAATCAGTTTCCATTTTTATAAAATAAATACAAAAATAAAAACCAGTGTTGGTTTCTCAAGGTTTTTTCGCGCAATATCTGTAAAATCTATTTTTGTAAATAGTTTTCAATATTTAGGTAATAAATAATTTCAAATTAATATAGGATTATTATTTTTAAGAAATTGTATTATTAATTTAGAGCACTTGTTACTACTTATGTATATTACATTCTAAATGATCCGTCCATTATTATTTTCAAATGTATACCTATCTTGTATAAAAATAAATATGTATTGTGATTGATTATATTAAATCAAGCAATTCTATTTAATTTCGCTTTTTTATTATTTTAACTACCCACAAATGTGAGTTAACTACTTGAGTGTTCTGAAGCGCTAAATACATAGTCACTTACGGATGTACCCACTCGTAAGTATTTTTTGATTAATTTACGAAAAATAGAGATTTTTATAAATAACGTTATTTCTGGAAATTTAAGGCAGAGACTTGTCTTTGATTATGATAGGGTTCACAGGTATACTTACTACATATAGCTACTTTATCAAAAACTACATTAATACGTCCAAAATAACTATTTGATTACTGGCCTGAAATTATTACACCTATTTTTTCTATCTTACCATTAATCTCAAAAATTCTAGTCAAACCTAAAGCAAAAGCAAATAACATTGGTCTAATACCGTGTCATTAAAGTCTAATTTAATATCGCATAGCCTAAAAGTGTTTATTCCGTTAAAAACTATATCATATCTTTTATTAGAAAACCATATTATTGAGAGAGTCACTCAGGAGTCTTCCTGAATTTTTAAATATTTTTCATCTAGCAACTAGGCCCACCTTCAATCGACATCGAAAAATATCTGCTCTAGAATCTTAGAGTGGGCCTTGGCCCTTAATTTAAAAAAAAAATTAATCCAACTACATGACCCGTGGACCAAGCTAAAACTGGGCCAAGTCGCTAGAAGACTCCTAAAAGTGTTAATTCGATAAAAAAAATCTCTATCGTGTCTTTATTAGAAAATATTATTTGACATTCAAGAGACTGAGATTGGAAATAAACATATTTTATTACCAGAATGGCACCGTGATGAGTCGCGGTGAGTCACACAAATCACACATAATCAGCAGTTAGACAGCAAGGCCGGTGAAGGGATGTACGTGATTATTAGGCCCACGACCTTAGCCCGAACTGCGGTCAGGCCTAGATTGTGGCGGGATGAGCTGAGATAATTGTATGGATATCAAAAACTGAGGATTGCGGTCTAATTATGGTCCACTTTTGTTTTTATAATTGGGAAGGACAGCACTTCAATTTGAATATGACACCCTGTGAAGGCTAAATAGCTGGATTTTGCAAAAATTACAATGATAATTATAAGCTAGTCTAGATCTTAGCAAGTAGGATTTAGGCATGAGTCAACTTAGATGCTCTTAGGCTAAGTTGCACCAATTTATTTTAACTGTAACTTGAACAATAACCGGTGTTTTTGTATGGATTTTGACAGTTTTGTGACGAATATTAAAGTTAAAGTAAGATGGTGCAACTCAGCCTTTGTATCACTAATGATACAAAGTTTAATTGAACTAACTAGCCAAGAAACGCTTACTAGAGCTTACGCAACCGCTTAAACCTATCAATAAATATCGAAACTAGATTCATATTTACATATAGATCGAAACGTAATAACGTTACGAGTAGACACTTCATAAAATGCCAACCAAACAACCTGAAAAAAATATCGATACTTTATCACCTATCATCCAATTACGATTGCCCCAACACTCGTTACAAACCGATTTGTGCCCGTAAAAAATGCGTAAATAGTACAATAACAATCACGGGCCAAGGCGAGTTCCTTTTCGAAATTATTATTATATTTAATAAACATCAAAGTTTTATTAGTATTTATTTGACAAACAATTACACGCATCCTTTGTGATGATAATGGCGCTTATCATAAGATTTTATGAGGCTCGCCGGGGCTGTGTCTGGTATTTAGGGACGTGATTGTTGCGTCGATACCGGTATCGATATTGTTTTATACACAACGGGGAAGCTCTTGTCCTGCTTCTCACCTGGAAAGTGGATATTGGATTAGAAGGTGGATTCGAGCGCTATTTTAACTGTCCTGCAGTCATGTCTCGGTAAGTCGATACCATAGCGGTAAGTTTGAAATTGACAACAAATAATATATTTTTGTAAGCTTACAGAACGAATTTATATACTCTATCATTATACTCGTACATAGAAACAATCTATTAGATTTTCTCGAACGTACAGCTCAGATCGATCTAATGGATAGACTGATATCCATGTTAAGCGGATATATGCCTAACCATTAATTAAACTTTTCCAAGCTTAGCAAGGCGTACGTAGGCGTGGGAGAACGCAGCATAACGTTTTTATCTTCAAAGGATCTACGACCTTTATCATTTATTATCATTATTATTAGCTAGTTCATTTAATGTTAGCTTAATCTGCATAAAAATATAAAAAAACAGTGATGTTTTATATCGATAGCTACCAGAATTCGCATCACATCACTAGTCGTTCGGTTTTTTAGTACAGCGCGAGCTGGCCAGCGCTGGCGCAGGCTTTCTGCCTAACTTTTATTCACCGATCTTTTGGTACAAAAGTTTATGGCCCCTCGTAAATTACGCGAAGGAATAAAGACGTTTCTGAACGGGAATCGACGGCGAGACGTTTTCCATTTAAATTATTTTAATACAGACCGTTTTAGTGCGCCGTATTTATAATAAGCTTTGTGCTGAATCAATTTCGCCTCAATATTTTGCGTCGTAGTTTGTCGTGTACTAAATTTTAGACATTCCCAGCTTAGGGTTGCCAAGATTACAATATTTGGGAAGTTAAGAAAATATTTTATTTTAAAATCTACGAGATATCGCATCTTGTTTCCATTGCTTTATTAGGTTTGGGATAGAAAATAATTAGATGTTAAGCAATGTTTGTTTTTATGTTGAACTAGCTTTTGCCTACGGCTTTGCCTGGTTGAAAATCCGTTGTGTAGTCTTGGCTTGGAAAGAGAAACTAACATCTTACAAACTTTCACATATCTATTGTATAAATAAAAATGAATTGATGCTCGTTAGTCTGATTAAAACTCGAGAACGGCTGGGCCGATTGAGCTGATTTTGGTTTTAAAATGTTTGTAGTAGTCCAGGGTAGGTCTAAACGGTGAGCAAATACGCGCGCGATATTGTTTTTCTGTGACAGACAAAATTCTACGCGGGCGAAGCCGCGGGTGGAAAGCTAGTAATGTAATATTAGTATGATCTAGATTCTAGAGTTTCCATCATCGAATCAAAATAAAAAAGCTTTTAGTAGATATAAGTGAAATCTGATTATTTTTCCTGAAAAAAAAAATAGCCTGAATATGTTTTTGACACTTATGACTGGAGTCATAAGTGGAGTCATATCAATGCACTTTATAACAATGATAAATAAAAATATCAACCCTATCATAATTTCTTATCGTAGAGTTTACGATCGGGCAGATCGGAAGACTGGATTTCATTATTAAAATGAGCTTTCTAGAAGTTATTTATACATCATTTGATAAATCTTCGGACCAACTGGTGACATTAGAAGGCGCCGAGAGGCCGTTTAGCCGTCGTTAGGCTAATCGGTAATCAGATGTAGGTAAGCTAGAATTTAGCTCGTGTCTTATTTTGCGCTGCAGGCTAAGGCGCTTAAGGCTAGCTTTCGTAGATTTAAAGTTCCCATAGAATTGGTAATATGCTTCAGCAGCTTAGGTTTGCAAGACCCAGGGTATGACACTTATGATCTCAGTTGTTAAATTCACACGAAAAAGAAGAAGAGAAACGTCATTTCAGAATGGCTACATTTTAGTATCTAAACCGGCAGACACTGGTGACTGTTTGTTGCGGCGCTTCTTCTCAGCACTTGCCAAATGTTTGTCTCGAAGCGCTGGTAGGGCAAAAAAAGAATGAGACATGCAGGCTCCTTAAGAGCATCTGTTGATTTGTAAGTACTTATTTAATTAGTCTATACAAATAAAGTAAATTTTTATTTTGATTTGATTTGATTTTGACGTTCAGTGCTCAAAATTTTTTATATTTATACAAGCTTATTTCACTACGGTAAAGTAGGTATATTTATAAGTCAAGGCAGAATAATCTGCTATTTGTTAATTAATTTGCTTTAATGAGCTCCCCAAACAATACCGAGGGTAAGCAATTGTGTACTAGCTTCATCTCTTTCTTATATACGAAATCATAGTCAACAAGAGTGGGAAAGAAGAGGGTCTTTAGCCCTCGGGCCTAATTGGTATGCCAATATTCAAAATGACGTTGTACAACCGACGAAAGGAACTCTATTATTGTTAATTACTACTCATTTCGATACGCCCATATTTAAATGACCTACATATTGGTGTGGTACTTAAATATTTTAACATGTTAATGCAAAACTTCATCATCAAAAAATATTTAAAGCCGTAATGTCGTAAATTATTTCGCTGAATTCTATGAGTGTCGGTAAATTATCAGCAAAATGCGGACTTCATTCGCATACGGAGGGACATTTAGGAGGTCCCGCGCACTAAAATCAGCATGAATCTGTCAAGTGTCAAAATAAGGCCGAGTGGACACGAGTGGAGAGCAATGAACGGTTTGAACAAGAGGTAAGAATAATGTATTTATTGATTGATGCTACTTTTAACTATTGTTATCATTTGAACAATGAAAAATTAAATAACAGTTCGTATTAAAATACCTACTTAGTTTTGAAAAACCCTGCGATCACGTTTTTTTTTTTCACTATCAGTTTTATTCTGGTGACTTATTTTCTAACGCTGCTTCTTCTCACTATAGTCAATTTACTGTCCCAAAACAGTGGTAGGGTTAAAGCTGAGATTTGTAAAAGCGCTTTTTAATAGCCTATTTACAGAAAATAAATGACTTTAGTTCGGTAAATAGGTTTCTGGACACCTTTTTCAGGTAAAAAGGTATAAAAAATACCATAAAGTTATAAACTTTTATTTTCTAACTCTGTCTATTTGACGGCAGTGTAGTTACAGCTTAAAATGATGATGAACGCATATTAAAAATGTGCGAAGGCGGTGCACTTAGTGACCAAATTATCTCAGATATTATAAATATACCTGAACGGTTTCGTCGTGTATAAGGGCCATAAATCATCGGCAAGCACTTTGATACACCCTTTTTTGTACTGGGCTGTAGATGTTGCTTGTTTTGTGGGCACTAAGTAAACAATAAACATACATACATGCATTGAAAATTATCG